CCTGGTGTGGCACTGTGGACTAATGTGTCAGACTACAAAGTAATTTGAACTGTAAGGTCTGTGGTTCACCCACTACTCCTAGGAAACCCTATACAGGGTTGCTATGGGTCAGAACCGATTCAATGACACTTAACAACAATAACAATGAGCAACAAAGTCTGGACATTCTGGCTTCTGAGAAGCACTCTGGCTGTACTTCTTTCAACACAGTTTTGTTTGTTCTTCTGGAAATCCATGGTACTTTTAGTATTCTCCTCCAACATCATAACTCAAATGCATCAATTCTTATAAGGTACTTTCTATTCATTGTCCAACTTTCATATGCATATGAGGCTATTTGGAATCCTGGTGTGGGACTGCTAGATAATGCACTAAACCAAATGGTCAGTTTGCACCTCAAGGTCAACTGTTCAAACCCACCAGCCACTCCTCAGAAACTCTATACAGGGTCACTATGGGTAGGAACCAATTCGACAATATGATATATATATATATACTGAAAATACCACGACTTGGGTCAGACACACTTTTAGTCCTCAAACTAACATCTTTGCTCTTCAAAACTTTAAAGAAGTCTTATACAGCAGATTTGCTTTATGCAATATATCATTTGATTTATTGACTGCTGCTTCCATGAGCGTTGATGGTGGATCCTAGCAAAACCAAGTATTTAACAACTTCAATATTTTCTCTGTATTTCTCAATGTTATTTATTGTGGTGAGTATTTTTTGATTTCTTTGCATTGAGGTGCCCATACTGGATACTGTGGTCTTTAATCATATAAACCTTTATTTAAAAAAAAAAAAAAAAACATCAAAATGCAAAGCTTTCTTTCTCAACATATATTCCATCTAGTTTTATGTACTTCTGAAGTGTGGAGCTATAGGATAAGCACTCAACCACAAGGTCAGTTTGAAGAGCAAAGTTGATGGTTTAAACTCATCAACCACCCCATGAAATCCTATACTGGGTCGTTATGAGTCAGAACTGACTCGATGACACTTAACAACAACAACAACCCATAGAATTCTGTGCTCTTCAATTTACCACATCAAAATGGCAATTTTGGCACCCTCAAAGACTCAAATTATGTTCACTTTAAAATTTTTTTTTTGAGTTTTAGGAACAAAAAGAAGTTTGGAGGGGCAAGATCAGGGCTGTAGATAGGATAAGGTTTCCTAATAAAATTCCCATAAAACAGTTCAATGCCCAAGAGCATTGTTCTAATAGGAAAAAAATTCTCAGCACAACTCTCCCGGTTCTTTTCTCACAAATTAAGTTTTTTATTTTCTTTATATTTCTTCACGATAGTCGTGTCCTTCAAGAAAATTGACCAAGGTAACCTCTTTGGGGTCTCAAAAAATATAACCATACATTTTTGAGCTGATCTCTCTGTCTTCAATTTCACTGGCCAGAAGATCCCCTCAGAAGCTTCTCTGCTTTGATAGAACCATATTTTTTGAGGCATGCTTAGACCACAAGGTTGGTTTAAATTGCAAGGTCAGTGGTTCAAATCCACCAGTCGTTCCTTGGAAACCCTATGAATCGAAACCAACTCAATGGCACCAAACAGGAAAACAGCAACAATGAAACTAAGACTAGTGTATTACTAAGAGAACTTGTCTACACCCATCCACTGATCACAGAGACGTGTTTAAACATGTTTTATTTGTAATATACCCGTGTATGTATGAACTGGAACTCTAATAGCAATACTTTTCACTTGTCCTCATAAATGTGCCTTAGAATAGAATTATCATCTATAGAACAATACTCTGTTTTGAATTAAATTGTATCTCCCAAAAATATATATTGAATTCTTGGTAGCTAAGGAGTTCTTGCAGCGAAGTAGTTACAAGTCGGGCTGCTAACTTCAAGGTTAGCAGTTTGAAACTACCAGCTGTTCCAAGGGAGAAAGATAAGGCTTTCTGCTCCCGTAAAGATTTACAGCCTCAGAAACCCTATACAGGATCGCTATGAGTCGGAACCAACTCTACAGCACATAACCACCACCATACCTGCAAAGGAGTACCTGGGTGTGCAAATGGTTAATATACTTGATTGATGAAAGGTCGGTGGGTTATATCCACCCAGAGACATCTGGAAAAAAGGCCTGATAATCTTCCTAAAAAATGTTAGCCTTTGAAAACACCATGGAGAAGAAGAAAAAAGGAAACGCCATGGAACACAGTTCTACTCTGACACACAAACACTCACCATGAGTGAAAATTATTTCAAATTCAACCTGTAGCTATGATACTGTCTGGAAGCAGGTTTTTCTTTGTCAAGCTAATTCAACCACACCCATATAGTTGTTCTTGTGTGCCATCAAATAGATTTTAATTCATAGTGACCCTTCAGAGTTCCTGGGTTGAAATCTAACAGATCACCAGGTCTTTTCTCTCTTGGATTGGCTGGTGGATTTGAACTGCTGATGTTTCCATAACAACCAAGCACTTGACTTTGGGCCACCAGGGCTCCTTACCCAAGTAGGGTGGGTTCTAGATCTAGTCACTCCTGAATAGAATGATATACAGAAACACACAGGGGAGGAAAGATATCATGTGAGGACTGTCACCAAACCATGGATCACTAAGGAACCAAGGAACGCCCAAGGTTACAAACAGGACAGAACCGTGAGAAAATAAGTTTCTGTTCTTTAAAGCAACCTACTTGTGATATTTGTGCTACAACAGCAGTAGGTAACTGAGGATGGTGCAGGACTGGACAGTGTTTGGTTCTGTTGTGCATCTGAGTCAGAACTGAGTCAACAGCACCTAACAAGTCTGAAATATAAAAGCCTGGTTCATTCTGACCACCGGGGATATAGTACAAAACCAGAACAAAATGTACAACTGCATCTACTGATATTAATAATGCATGAGTAGATTCATGATTTCACCAAATATGAGAGTGCTCTTGAAACCTGAACAAGTAAATTTGGGACAAATAGCAAGATACATTATCTCCCAGGCTCTGGATATACAATAGCTGCTTTAATAGGAATCTGAGAATGAAAGTTAACATGTCAAGAGCAGAAAGAATCAAGAGCTTATACTCCAAACTACTTTACCTTAGAGAACACCCAGAGGCATCATACTGTTTGAATAAAGAATAAACTAAAGAGGTGGTTTTATAAAAAATGAATCATGATTCATCTCCATGCATCTAACCATTATCAGAGTTAGACTCAAAAGAGCATTCTATAATTCATTAGGAAAGATAAACCACATTGGGCAATGAGAACTCCAAACTCCAGTTAAAAACTGGAATAGGCTAGAAATCTAATCAATATTACGTTTTTATCCCAATGGATTCATAAATATATGAGCAATATACCTATCTATACACAGGAGCTAGTTTCTGACCATGAACAATACAACTGAGGCAGAATTTTTAAAAGATCCTTCTATTCACTCTCTGAAATATCTTCCAGATCCCAGGCATTTAACTTAACCTTATGTTTGAGCCCAGTTTGATGTACACTAAACGTTAGGTGCACATTGGTGGTGGTGGTATGCCATGGAGTAATTCTGACTCATAGTAACTCTATATAGGATTTCTGAGGCTTTAAATCTTTATAGGAGCAGAAAGACTCATACTTCTACCATGGAGTGGCTGGTAGTTTTGAACCTCGCAGTCCTGTTTACCTTGCAGTTAGCAGTCCAACTCGTTACTCACTACACTACCAAAGCACACATTATAATTTGTATATTTGAATACTATGCACTCATATTAAAGGTTTCACAACTTTAAAACTTACAGAGATGACAAAGCAGACTTCAAAAGTTCCTATATGAAATGAAAAGGTTACTATTAAAGGAAAGAGAAAATCAAATTCTAAAATGTGTTTCTTAGCCTCATGACGATATAGATAGTCTGTTTGACAATCATGTCTTCTGTTTAAAACCACAGAGTGAATGGATCCCTTCTTCACCTCTTGTTAGCTGTGACTGGACTTCAGTTTCCTTATCTATAACATGGGTCTAACAATATTTACCTGCAGGCTTAGTTGTTGCACTTAAAGAAGGACAACTCGTACAAAGCTTCTAACAGCACATGCTAGAATAACATTCTGTAATAAAAATAGAATGCTAGCCACAAATACAAGTCACATATCCTCCACTACCATCAGGTAATATTACAACTCACATAGCAACCTTATAGGGCAGAGTTTCTGAAATTGTGAATCTTTATGAGAGTAGACAGACTCATCTTCCTCCCAAGAGTCTGGTGGGTCTGATTGCCTACCTTGTGGTTAGCACCTCAACATTTAACCCACTGTATCACCAGTGCACCTTTCAAGCCACATAGGTACTTAGAAATGTTCTAGTAGCCACAGTAACACAATAACAGAAAAAGAAACTTGTAAAATTAACTTTAAAAAATTATTATTATTTTTTTTGTGTGTGTGTAAATTAGAATACTTTATTGTAAACATTTCCAGAATATAAGCTGATTTTCATCAAAACTCTTTGAAAACTTTAAAAACCATATTTATCTAAGCTTATTATAATGTATTTAACTTTCCAATTTCCAACCTACAAAACACACTTAAAGTTAGAGCTAACAAAGAAAATAATCTAAATTGCTTCTAGAGAAACCAACAAACATAAATGTATCCCACTAAAGCCATAACAAATCCAACCAAGAAAAAGATTCTGCAAAGTCTATTAATCCTCTAATTTTAAACAAATGATCTCTCTAAAAATAATTACTAT